GCTGTGTAGACCTGGACAATGTCACGACTGCTGTCCCTCCCAATACTGAGGCTGTCCACTTTAGTAGAGAAAGCGTGTTGGACAAAACCTTTCAGAGGACAATCTGTGATCTAAGAGCCACTGGCTTTTCCAAATACAAGTCAAGCTCATGTTGAAGAATAACAGAGCAGAAAGAGGGATCTTTTCCCCTTGAGCAAACATTCCAGGCAGCTCAATGTGAAATTCAATGCAATAACACCAAGAAAATGGGAGCAGATTTCCTGGATGTTTCAAAAACCTCTCAAAATACACTAGCTTATACTTGTAACCCAGGTCGCATGCGTGTAGATCAACAGGTAGCCTGGACATTGCATATGTGTCCATTAATATAATGTATTTCCTCCCAAGTACACAAAGTAAATCTTTCTGATGGCATGTCTGGATTTCAGTGGACAGGGATTTGATAGGACACGCTGGACGGGTCAGTAAACTATTAGAAGATATAGCACACACATTCAGAATAAGCCAGGAATGTAATACGTTTGCACAACTATATATTTGATAAACCGAACACATTGTGGACTCAGCATTCCTCAATGCTGGCCTCAATCTGAGAGAGTTTAACCTGTGTTAATGTCCCTGATTTCCTCCCACAAGTCTGTATATTTACAGCATGTACATTAGCTCCAGGAGATTGAAAGGTCAAAGGTCAAATGCAATGACAATTGAGGGGCAGTATTTTCATTTCCAGAGGAGATGACGGGCTCCCCGACACAGCCCAACTGCCTCTCTTCCTGTCAGATCTCTCCAAAACCAGTTCAATCATAACTAGAGCTCCACACGAACTGGTTAGGGATATAAAACATACTTCATGCTGATGCAAAGCTGACTTGAAGCCTGGTTTTCTCTCTTCTGTTTCTGGGTATATATATAGACCCTGAAACAGAAGAGAGAAAACCAGGCTTCACTCACATACATCTACCTATCTATATATAGTTTGAGCTGTGAAACACACACACACACACACACACACACATTATATGTTTTATTAATATTAATTATCAACTATTGTTTTATTTATTTTTCTTTTGAAAAAAGCAACATAGCAATTTTCTAAGTTAATTGTTCTATATCTTTTCGGCCCCCAAAAAAACAACAACAACAACAACTAATATTTAATATTATTTACCATTTTAGAACTTATTTAAAAAAATAATAATTTGCAAAATATATAGTAATATTTATTGGAGTAATAATAATTTAAATAAATTATTTTAATGAACATGGTTAACTTGGATTGTTAGCATGTCAAGTTATATATGTTGGTTTCAATATTACATTAAAGGTGGAAAAAGTTCTGACGTGATTTTACTGAAATTCATTTTTTACATCTCTAACAGGAGTGTGTAGACGTTTTATACCCACTGTATATGTTTGATGAATATGTTGTATTTGAAGAATATATTTGAAAAATTTAGAGATGGTAAAAGAGCAAGAGACATAAGGAGAGAAAGAGATATTGTTTCTGATAAACGACAGAGCTAAAAATGTCCTGCTCTTGATTGTGGATCTGACCATCTTTTTCTCTACAATCAGTCTGAATGAAAGCAGAATATCAATAACACAACAAAGCACTCATGCACAAATAAATACTGTAATATGCCACAAAGTTATCAGACTCAAACAGACAGCCACACACACACACGCACAGGCTGGGGACTGTGTTGAGTCCAGGGAACGCCGATCCAGGTAAAGAGATTACAGATGCACACAATACCACCTTCTGTTCGTTGTCCAGGAACAATCCGGTCCTCTGGAGCATCCAGGAAACACACACAAAACAAAACCTCGTCCATGGCCAAAAATTCCTAACTCAGCCCAACACCTGCTCCTCTCTCTCTCCTTTTCTTTTCTCTATGCCGCTCAACAATAAAAGTCATAATTCATGCTTTCTGTTGATCAAACCGAGACTCTGTTACTTTTACTTACATCATTTGAAAATCACAAAGTTCCAGCTGTAATCAGACGCTTGTTCGGAAGCCTGTTGAGCAGAACCATCAGCATCCGTGACGTTACACCAGCTTTCATCATCCCAGCAGACTTTTGTATTCAGGGAAATTGGGTGAGCAAAAGCAGCAGAACTTCTGCCATGGGAATTACAGGTGTGACTGCGCTACTGCGTCTTTTATTATGATGAGAAAAAAATGTGTTCTTTGAGAAAAATGTGCTTGAGACAGATGAACAAATGGGGTGGCGATGTAAAGGAAAATGTTAATGTGTGCAGCATTTAATGCAGAATGATGGGAATAGGGCTTTCTCCGTCAGCACCGCTTCAAAACTGTCCTCCTACACGCACTGTTGAAATAAAAACCTAGACTAAACCATCTCTCGCAAACACCACGTCAAAACCACCTTCTGTCAGATGCTAGCAGAGTGTTTGACAGGGAAATGAAGGTTTGGATTACACAAGTGTTTTAGATGCCACACTGAAATATGGGAATTACTGCAGTAAACAGAGGACCAGAGAGACATGCTGCCTTCAAGTCCTCCTGGGAACTCCTTACTTAACAGTGTGGAAATAATGATTACGTGATATGCATTCAAATGATTTTGGTCTGAATAAATTTAATGTGTTGGCCAACGTCATATTTTTCTCTCTTTTTTCAAATCCATCCTGTCATCTATCCATCTGTCTATTCATCTATCCACCTATCTATCCATCAGCATATCAATCAATCCAACCATCCATCCATCCATCTATCTATCCATCTGTCTATCATCCATTGATCTATTCTTAAATCTGTCTATTCATCTATGCACCTATCTATATATCAAGTCATCCATCAATCTATCCATCTATCCATCCAGCTATATTTCTATCTATCCATTCATCCACCTATATATCTATCCGTTTATTTATCTATCCATCCGTCTACATATCTATTCATCCATCCATCCATCCGTCCACCCATCATCCATCCGTTTATCCATCCATCCAGTTATCCATCCATTCCATCTACTAGTCTGTCTATAATTTTATCTATATATCGTTCTATCTGTCTATCCATCCATCCATAAACCAATTTTTCCCACAATGCAATAGTCAATGTATAAGTCTCCAAATTACAGTTTCAGGTTTTAGCAGACATCTGAGAAGGCATCTCAGAATATATATTCAAAAACATAAGAACTTCCATCATTTAAAGATGTTTTTGTCATCACCAGCTGTCTGACTTCCACAGGAAATCTACACCTCTTCACGAATAAAGTAACAAGTTTCATGATTACTGTTAAGGGTAGCTGATAAAGTATTTTTCATTTGAACATTAAACTGAAACCTGACTGTATTTCCATGAAAAACGCAACAACCCTTGCATTCATTGTTTCACTATGTAAATGATATCATACACAATTTTAAAAATAATATGCCATAAAGTTGGATTGTATGACAGCATGTTATTGCAAACACAGTGTGTGTTCTGGCAGAGCAAGGGCTGTATGGCCTTTGGGTATTCACTGTAACGGCACACAAACAGCTCACAAAAGGAACCAGCAGAGCCCTGATGAAAATCACACCATTACATCTGTAATTAACAGCATGAAATCCTGCCACAAAACCCCTTCAATGTCTGAATAACATCCCTGATCCGTGTGCCCACAGGAGAGCCAACGCACGTTCCCACAATGCACTGGGGCAGCAGGACTGATGGAGCTTTGGAGCTCAATTTCCAACACAATCATCCTCATTTCAGCCTGAAAATGCCAGAGAGATTCTGCTGCAGTCTCTTTAGTGAAAGGAGAGAGAGAGAGCAAGAGAGAGAGGGAAAGAGGGGGAGAAAAGAATGGAGGTGGACAAAAAGCGTCTTTTAACAGCAGTTTAACAGTCACCTGGAGGGCATGAAGGACACGAGAGAGAAAGGAGACAGTAGTGTGAAAGAACGTGTGTGAGAGGGATATGCACTCTTGCAATCTAAAAATCACACACATTTACTGGCTGTTTTATACACATTTACTCTCTCTTTATCTTTCTCTCTCTCTCTTTTTCCCACTCTGAAATATTCTGTACTGTACAGATCTCCCTTCTCAATTAAATACAAATGATTGTATTAAATTTTTTGCCATGCTTTACTGGCATGACACTAGGTATAGTGCACCGTCAATCCTCGCATTTGCAATGATCACAAATGTAAAAACTTAAAAATTTAATTGAAAATGAAAGATAGACAAAAATAATAATGTTTTTGTTCATTGATCCGTCAACTCAACCCAGCTTTTGTGGCTGGCATCTACATACCATGAGTGAAAGTTTTTTCATCTGCTTTGTAATACAATAATGAATTAATAAAGAAAATTAATTAGATAAAAACCCAGGACTTACACTACCATTAAAAAGTTTAGGGTTAGTATTTTTTTTTTTCTTTTTTAAAGAAAATAAAAAAAATTTCAGCAAGCATGCATTAAATTGATCCAGTTACAGTAAAGACATTTGTAATATTACGAAAGATTTCTATTTCAAATAAATTGTGTCCTTTTAAATTTTATATTCATCAAAGAATGAAAAACATATGTAAAATGACAAATATCACAGTTTTTAAAAAAAACTGTTTTTTAATAATAAGAAATGTTTTTGAGCACCAAATCAGCATATTAGAATGATCTCTGAAGGATCATGTGACAAAGACTGGAGCAATGGCTGCAGAAAATTCAGCTTTGTCATCACAGGAATAAATTACATTTTTAAATATATTAAAATAGAAAACTGTTATTATATTATTATATTAAATTGCAAATATATTTCACAATATTACTGTTTTTAATGTATTTTTGCCTTAGAGAGCATAAGAGACATCCAAAACATGAAAAAACACCCCAACTTTTGAATGGAAGTGTACAAAATTGAATTCATATGAAAAATTGCACCAACAAAATCATTAAATATCTCTCACACACAGCTCTGTGTCATCCACAACGTTAGAGGACACTCACATATATTTTGCATTATTACTTAGAGATCGTCTTACCTCTATGTCTGTTTGTAGTTTTGTCAAACATCAACATGGCATCCTCTACCTGAAAAACAAAACAAAAAACACACTCATGAGTCAAAGAACATACAAAGTGTAAAGTACTAAAAAAAAGTAGAGTGAGACCAGATAAAACATCTTTTAAGTAAAGTCATTTGAACTCTTTGTATGATTACGTTTAATTATTATCCAAGCTCAAGACACATATAAAACATCATGATTTCTTACAGTACAAGCTTTAATAAGACCAGATCATTAATAAGATGATCAGATGTCAAGCAGCACCTTTTTATAACAAACACTTCCAAGATGACAAATGTACTTCCGTCATAACTAAAATTTTCTTTGCAGTATTTCAGTTTCATTGCTCAACAGGACAAATGCATGACAAGAAACCTTTGTATGACGCAGGCAGATTCTTAAAAGAAAACATGCAGAATCCTGCAGAGACACACCAGTGTCCAGAGTAATTTGCCCTTCATGACTCACACACATCAGAGAGAGAGAGAGACAGACAGAGTCAGTCTCAGGGGGAGACAAAGCGGTCCATGTGTCTGTGCACTGCCTGCCGCCTGGATACGGTCGCTAGGTAACATGAGGAGTTGTCTAAGTGTAAGAGACAGACTGTCCAGCACAGCGGGGGACCCCAGTATGAGGCCAGCGGCTAGAAACACACACATACAAGGGTCGTGGTGTGTCTTTAATAGAGAGATATTAAAATAACAGCAGCAGGAGTCAAACCTGCACCGCACACATGAGCCCCACGGCCAACCAGTACGCACATTCAAATGAACCTACTGTACAGAACAGCTGGAGCAACGCGGGGTTAAACACTCTGATCATGGACAAAATGAGAACAGACATTTCTCTGAAAATATGGGTTAATAGCTGCTAGCAAACCTGAGCCTGCTGCTCTCAGAGCAAACCAGATCAAACAACAGCAGACCAGACCATATCATACCCTACTATACCAGTCCAGTCTAGTCTATTACATATTATATCACGCATATCATATATCAGACCAGATCAAACTAGGAACTAATGTGATTCTTACTCAAACATCTATGTGCAAGCAAGCATTGGAAGACCTCAAAACATGCTGATGGAGTTTAAGTGTGCTGTATAAAGAATGAGAATGTGACGTAACGCCGCGTTGACTTCTGGGAAACTGCTTTGTTTATCCGCCATATTTGCAGGATAGCGCTGGCTTTCCGCTATTGAGTTCAGGGCAGTATTTGATTGTTTGTCGTGATTGTGAAAAATGTCACCAGTGTATGTCATTCATACTGCATCGATAATTGCAATAGTAACTCAGATCATCGTTCTGAGAGAAAACTGGACAATGCAATATGTTTTTTTGCCTTTTCTATGTGTAAAAATACGAAGGGAAGGAGGTCGCGGAGAAGATGCCGAATAGTAAATCTGTTA